TGGAATGTGAAACTGACTACGGCTTCTTGTTGATTTTATTATCGCCGCCCAGGTAACTGCATCTAAGCTCCGTCGTCAACCCCGGTGGCCCCATGTAGATGTAAATGGCCTTGAATCAGATCGCGGTAAGGCAATAAATGCAAAGGGGCTCATAGCTTACTACACTCCCACCGTCAACTTTTAGTGAGCTGGGAAAGTGACCCAAGTTCAGTTACCGACTGAAATTTGATTTGTGGCGTTTGTTCGTTAATAACGTATATTTGTAAAAAAAACAGTGCAGACTTTCCTCTCTGTGAATGTAGTTTTTGTAACTGTGGGCGATTTTGTTCGGAAAGATAAAACTATATATCCTCAAGTAATATGCATCGGCTTTGATGCCTCGAGGCACGTGCCTCGGTACGTACGCACCGTGTTCATGGCATAATATCACAGACAATCTGTGTGATGCTAACTATGATTAATGCCGCTGTTTTAGAATTGATTATCAGGTGAGACGTGCCGACGATGCCCTCACGCACTTTAAGTACTAGCTGGAAGATGTCCATGTACATGGACAACATGTTGGATTATTAAGTAATCGCTTTTGTCCGTGTGGAGGATATAGGCCTGCCTGATAGCATGCTTGGCGGTTAATTGGAGAGTTCATATGGAAGGTGCAGCGGGCGTCCGCTAAAGCTAGCTGTCAATCTAAGTTTGCGTCCGGCGAATAATGCGTCCGGCTACAGACCTCAAAGCTACATAAGTGCGGCGGTTCGAAGTCCTTTGCCTCGACTGCCGTATCAAGTTTCTCAAGAGTCGGTTTAGTACGACGGTATAGAAACCTTGGTTTGCCGACAAGTGTGTTTTTTCACCAACCAGCATTTAAACTCCAAACTGCAAAGGAGCCAAGGCAGAAGCCCTCGAGCAACTGATCCGGATCGCAGTTGATAAGTAGCATTTGTCGCGAGGCGATGTGAAATAGATGGCTGAGCATTATAGTTACAGTTCGCGCCGCAGAACACATAGCGACTACTTAACATGGTGGCAAATCCGTCGGGAGAAGATCCCCGTCATCGGATTTTCGAAAATGCCAACATTCTGTGCATCTGATGCCAAAAGTCCGACAATGCGCAGTGTACGCCTCTAAGACGCGACCGACTGTTCCCTTAGAGAGATCAGGACCATATATTCCGACCATCAAAATGTGTAGATTCTAGGGGTGAACTATTTCGAGCCAAAATAGGGACCTTGCTACTCCTGTTATTGTCAAGGCGTGGTGGTCGGCCGCTCCGAATTGGC